AGCAAATAAAAGAAATAATAGATGATTGGATGTATTCCAGTTTAAAAACTGAATATCAAATTTTGATAAGGATGCCATGATGAGATGGCCTATACAAGGGAGCAAAAGAATCATTAATTAATAAAAGGGCGATGCAGGACAACAGAGTTATAATTGAGGACAGCATTGACACCAGATTGGACATGAAATTCAGAGAGAGGTCTGGTGAGTGCATCAGGGGGCATGTGTTTGAATGAGAATCGAGGGCAAAGAACACTAGGGAGACTACAGACTATGTGGAGGAAGACAGTGGAAGGAGGGAGAGACATGGAGCCAGAATGTTGCAGCAACCTAACATGTGCCTTCTGGTACAAAAAGAGATGATGATGATGATGATGATGATGAGCACTTGAGTTATTAGAAGCAATGTTTCACACAAATTTATACTTTCAGTATGAAGGCACCCTTAATTGGTGCCCTATGGAGGGTCAGCTTAGCATTGTCAGGTAGCCAGAAACTAACAGGAACATGTGGAATTGTGTACATTGATATGAAAGCAGGAAGCCATCTTTCACAGGCAAGAGCTAGTATACATGGACCTTCACAGTTTCTCCTTTTAAAACTGGACTTTTCAGATACAGCTCAAATGAATAGTCATCTCTATAATTAAGAGATTTCTCGTGAGGCAGAACAGCTCAGATTAAGATTACTTGAAAGGCAGAACAAAAAGCTTAACTTTAATGCCGATGATATTTCCAATTGCAACGAAATAAAGAAGAAATGGGTGGTGATCGCATCCTTTGTTGATTTTAAAGGAAGCGAAGTCCAGTTACTTAGGAAAGGATTAAATTACACTCTTACCCCTGACACAATACCTTGAAAACAAATCAGCATCGGTCAAGCAAAGCAGTGCAAGACTACCAGCTGCAGCTAAGGAGGAAATCAGTTGTAGTGAGCCATATCCTTACAAACACTCAGCCTACCAGAACGAGTGACATAGCCAAAGAAGAGTGGTGAGTGCTGAAAGACCAGAAGAATAAGAACACGCTCATTGTTCCTGCTGTCAAGGGTAATCCTGTCGCGGTGATGAACAAGTCCAATTACCAGGAGAAAATCAAGTCAATGCTCCAAGACTGGAGGACTTGCCAGCCAATTACAGACAAATGACAGAACTTCACTACAAAAACTGCATTGGACCTACCATGGAAACTGAAAAACCTTAAGGACTCTGGCAACCTTTCTGAGGAGGAGTACAAAAACCTTTGAGTTTCTGATCCAAACCCTGCATCTTTTTATGGCCTTCCAAAAGTTCATAGGATGGAGCCTTGTATCCTTTGTTGTTGTGTCTCTTTTCACTTCCATTCCTGTAAGGTTGGCGAATGATGTTCTAAAGACAAAACTCCAACAGTCTGATGGATGGAAAGGAACAGCTACCCTCACTGAGGTGCACGTTAGAGACTTGCTAGAGTTTGTACTGGGAAATAGCTATTTCTCACTTATCAGGGGATGCACTACCAGCAAGTATTTGGTTGTTCAATGGGGTCACCAGTCAG